AGTGATCGCGCCCAGGCGCTGGCACCACTCAAACATGCGACTTGCATGCTTTTTAAAGTTACTACAAAAACTAACCCGATGATCCAGTAACTACACCACCTATTTTACGCTCTAGCTGGTATATTAGGCTACTAGAGGAAACCCTAAAACCATGCCACTACCTAATCCGATCGTTCTACAAAAATTGCCGAACGTAGCTTCGTCAACGCATTGTCTGACGTGGGAAATTTTGGCTAAGTCCTAACGATTTCGCGTCGAATGCGATTTTTAAGTTACCCGATACACTAGCTAGCGAATCCCGTTCTTGACCGCACGTATTTCATCGTCGCCTATGAAGTTCGGGCTACCAACTTTACTACGTTCCGCCGATGCATTCCATAGCATTTTCGTCCGATAAAAATTCATTTAGAAGCTATTATGATCAACTTTCGCTTTGCCCCTCTTCTCTTGGCTAGCCTTGAATGCCAAATCTTTCTTCTTGGTGGAAGAAGAGCCATCTTGTGGAGTGATGTGCATGTACATCTCATTTGCATTGATCTTCTCCAATATTTGAGTTGACGTAGCGGTGGAAAGATCACCTTGATGAAGCACCATCATAATATGCCCATACTTATCAATGGAGAGGACACTCAAGATCTTTCTCACAACATCGGATGGTTGCATTTGAGTGAGTCTAAGCCCATTGACCTCCGCTGCAAGAACATTCAAGCGAGAATACATTTTATGAGCACATTCATTAGGAAGCATCTCAAATGAATTTGCTTTTTGATCACAAGGTGATAGCATTCCTCACGCTCACTCTTGGTTTCCTCACGAAGCGCACAAATGTTTGACCATAGTGCATGGGCATCTTTGTGGTTTCGCACACGGTTAAAGACATCCTTGCAAAGGACTCTAAAGAGGGTGTTTCTAGCCTTTGCATTCCACTTCTCGTAGTTTGCCTCATCACCAACAAGGTTGGTGGGGTCCTTAGGTTTTGGGAAGCCTTGTGAGGCGGCTCTATACACTTCAACATCTATAGCCTATAGTTATGCCTCCATGTGAATTTTCCAATAAGGAAAATCATCTCCCTCAAAGATAGGAGGGGTTCCATATATGGGACATCTTGCTCTAGGCGGTTAAGCCTAATTTAGGAGCACTCGGCTCTGACACCAATTGAAAGAATCAAGATGTCCAAGAGTAGGGGTGAATTGAGCTAATTCTAAATTTCTTGCAATAATTAAACTTTATACTTAGCCTATTTCACCCCCTTATGCCTAAAAGTGTTTCTATTGTTCTACCGCACAAAAGTTTTGCACCCTAGGTTCCAATCCTACTCTAGCATGGTAATTCTAAGAATGTAAAGATATAAAATAAATTGCTCAAATATAAATGCTCAACGTAAAGAGAGGGAGAGGAACATGATGATGTTTTTCTGAGGTATCAGAGAGTCACCATTCCCCACTAGTATTCGTTGGAGCACTCGCGCAAGGGTGTAGCTCCCCCTTGATCCACGCAAGGATCAAGTGCTCTCTACGGGCTGATTCTTCATCACTCCGACGTGGTGAATTGCCCACAACTGCTCACCCCATGACTTGGGTCATCCACAACCTCCGCTAGATGATTACCAAGTTTCCAATCACCATCGAGCCATCTAGGTGATGCCGATCACCAAGAGTAATAAGCACGAACTCTTACTTGACCCAACCAAGCCTAACGAGAAGAATGGATGCACACTTGATACTCTCTATGCACTAATAAGGTACTTAATCTTGGATTAGCAAATCTCAATCACCCCACTAGGCTCTTGCTCTCCCTTGCACTCCAAAGTGTTTCCTCAGCTGAACAAATGGGCAAGAGAGCCTCAATGCAAGAGATGGAGGGGCATAAATAGCCCCAAGCCAAGGAACTAGCAGTTACCCTCCAACTCAGCAAAGTCGGGGTCACCGGACAGCAAAGTGGCGCACCGCCACCCCCTGTCTGGTGCCACCCCAACGGCTATATTTCAAATGACCGTTGTAGGGCTGGCACCGCCACCCCCTAGGGCGGTGACCAAACCCCAAAAACCCTCATCTCTAGAAAAATGCGACGGTGGCAAGGTGCCCTGTCCGGTGCCACTCAGTGCAAAGCACCAAAAATACCAGCCTCGGAAAAATTACGGCGGTGGAACCACCACCCTAGGGCGGTGCCATGTTCGGTGACCGCTAGGGCAATTTCCCAAACAGGCAGCCTTGGGAGAAAAAGGGCGGTGGCTCCGCCACCCCTTGGGTGGTGCACCGTTGCGCCCATGGCGGTGTACACCGCTGTGTCCTATGCCACCCCCAGCACCGGCCTCCATTTCAAGCGTCGTTTCGAATCGCTTTCCAACTTCCGACGATCTTGGGCTTCCTTCTGAGCTACCTAGCGCTAATTTAACAAATGTGCACCACATTCTTTTCACTAGACACGCCTAGGTCAAGCTACCCATCCATGTCCCCCTTTATAGTACGACCAAAGAAAAAGCAAAGTCCTACACCAAATCTAAGTGTCTCTCAACGCCAAACGACACTTAGAACTAGTCCATCCTTAATTTTATCGTCCATCCTTTGAAAACCAAAACAATTTCCATCGATAGGGGCATGAAAACCATAATTGCCCAATCAATTACCATCACTGTGACCTAACTCAATTTGCCACTGCAAAACACACGTTAGTCATAGTAATATTTTGTTCGGTGGTATTAGGCTCGGCCTAAATCGATCAGAGTAGCTTGTAGAGGCGGATGAGAGATGATGTCTTGCCACACGTAAGTCATATTGGAACCATACTAGGCGGCGAAGCTTGGCCGGATAACTTGTTCTAATCGCGAAACCGAGTAGTTCAACTCAGGCCGGGCCCCGTTCTGTAAAAGTGCGCACTCTAGATGGTAGTAAGGATGTGCGGGGAGCCAGACGTGAGCCCAAGGGCGGGCTAGGCCTGAACGTCCTGGCAGCTGGTTGTCTCTGATTGTGCGGCGCTGAGTGAACCCATGAAATGTGTACCTAAGTTATACCAAAGGTGACCTAAGGTGACTGTTGATCTGGTCTGTCTGCGTTTGTGTTAGGAATAAATTTCCAGCTAGTTGAAATCGATTCGAATCGCCGTCTCTCCCGGATAGTGAGAAACTCTGACTCACACCAACATCGTAGTAACTGTGTTATGGAATATGATGGTTCGGATGAACATGGAATTATTACACTGGTTATGGTTACTATTGTATGCTACTAAATGATATACCACATGTTTGGCATAGGCTAGTTGCTAATCTAGAGATGAATAGCTATAATTAACTTGATGACCGAATTATAACTGTATACTTGAATTGGTAAGCTTTTTATGCAAAATATTGTCAAGTTAGCTCCACTTATAAAGCCTTGCATAATCCTTGGAGTTACTTTATTTTTGATTTATGATGGGTAAGCCTAGCTGAGTACCTTCTCGTACTCAGGGTTTTATTTCCATTGTTGTAGATAGTACAGTTTATCATGGCTATTGTAATAACTGCTTCTGTCCTGCCATGGACGAGGAGTAAGCCCTGGGCAAGCATCTCTTATTATTCCCTCTCTTATGTTTTTGTGGAAGTGTGATCGTGAGCTGGCACTATATTTAAACAATGTTGCAGATGTTGGTTTCAAACTTTTAATTTGCTTCCGCTACTATCTTACCTGAACGTGGTTTGTAATAACTTTAATTCGTACTCTGATGGATGAACTATATTTATGAACTTTATGTAACGTGTGAGATGTATATTGAATCATGTACGATCTTGGTTGTATGTTGATGGTTAATCGAGACCATTCGTGGTACTCGACGGACTATCGGGTTTATATGGGTTCAAGTATGACAGTGCGACCGTTTGCGGGCTGTTATTGTACTTGTGCTCTTATAAATTAGTCGGTTCTGCTACACGTTGACGGTGACCTTAGCTAATAGACCGCCAACACTCGGTAGAATTGCAAGTAATGTAAACAGAGCCAGGGGAATGTAAACAATCGGTCTTTTGGCCCAATATATATTGTCTCCGTTCGGTTTACATTCTTAGGAATGCTGGTCCTATTTGTTTCGCTAAAAAGCTAGGTTAAAAAATACTATTCGTTGATTTATTACTAGAGAAAAATACTGTTCCACGATTAATAAGTTTGAGTGAACAGGGTCGCCGTTTTTGAGGGACCAAAACACTTGTCAGCTTTAGATGGGTGAGGCCCGGAAGATGGTCTCACATTCCCAGCACGGGGATCAAGCCAAACAAGCATTCACAATTGAATGTATCGGCGCCTGAATGAACCTGGGGTGTGTTTAGTTTCTCATAAATTCTCAACTTTTGACACTATACAAAATTAGGATTTCCCGTCACATCAAACTTGCGGTACATGCATGGAGTACTAAATGTTGACAAAATCAAAAATTAATTACACAGTTTGGTTGTACTTTGCGAGACGAACGTTTTGAGCCTAATTAGTCAACGACTGAACAATTATTACCAAATAAAAATAAAATGCTACTGCACCTACAGTATTTTCGGCGGCACCGACTCGGGTGGACTAAACATGGCCCTGGTTGAGAGTATTAATTAGAGTGCCCCGTTCTGAAGACTAGCTACCTGCTCCAACTCCGACCTCCGACATCAAGTGCTTACATTCAGAAATTCAGTAATAGTGCCATCTCCGATGGGACATGTATGAACCAGACTGGCTCCAGTCAGTAGCGCCGTCTCGAACAGGGCTGAAGCACCGGTGACTGGTCACTCCGTTCCAGGCTTGCACTGCAGACCGGTAGCTAGTTTCTGAGATCAATCTCACTGTACACGACCTTACAGAAATGGATTCCAGCACTGCCGTGCTGGACGTGTTGAGCGAACCACCAGTCTACGTCCAAGCTAAAGCTACAGAGCTATGGCGGTAGAGCTATAGCTACCAATTGCAACAGGATGAACAAGTCGCGTCTTTGTGTATTGGATTCATGCTGGATTAACTAAAATCAGGAAAAGCTGAAGGAGCCAAGGAATGGCCCCAGCACAAGAAGACAGCGACTTCACGTTCACTAAGGCAGCCAGTATGCCACACCCCACCGGCTAGAGATAATTAATGCTTCCTCTACAAATTCTTTAGCAGAGAAAGTCAACAATATTTTATACGAGATGGTTGCAACAAGATGAACACGTCCCGTCTCCGTGTATTGGGTTCATGTTCGATTCAGGCAGTGATGAGCCATTCAAGGCAAAGGTGAAGCGGCCAAGAAATGACCTCAACACAAGAAGACAACCCACGACGTCACTGGCAGCACACATTCGGCATTCACGTCCTTGACGGGTGGAAGGCCGGCCTGGCGTCTAGTCCCTCTTCCTACCTGCTGGAACCGACACGGCAGCAGTGGCCGCGGCACCAATAATAGCTCTTGCTGTACACATGTGGTTGATCATATATGACCCCTGCCCACACTGGCTTCCTTAGCTAGTTCATGCTTGCCAAGTAGCCATGGCCAAGAGACACGTCTCCATTTCCACCGGATTCATCTCCTCTTCCTTCTCATGTTCTCCACTGCCCACGCGAGAGAACAAGGCTACCTCGCTAGAGGATCCTCCATCTCCACCGTGGATGACACCATCACCATCCTGGTGTCACCCAATGGCGAATTCTCCTGTGGCTTCTACAAGGTGGCCACCAACGCCTTCACCTTCTCCATCTGGTTCTCCAAATCAGCTGACAAGACCGTCGCCTGGACGGCCAACCGTGATGCTCCAGTGAACGGCAAGGGCTCCAAGCTCGTCTTCCAGAAGGATGGGAGATTGGCTCTTCTTGACTACAACGGCACGGCTGTATGGAGCACAACTACGACCCATGCCAGAAGTGCACAGCTTCTGGATACCGGCAACCTTGTTGTCATGGATCCAGATGGTCAGACCTCTGGAAGAGCTTCGACTCGCCAACCGACACGCTCCTGCCATTGCAACCGATGACTCGGAACACAAAGTTAGTATCTGCATCTGCCAGGGGTTTATTCAGGTTCCTACACCTTCTACTTCAACAGTGACAATGTGTTGACCCTTATCTACAGTAGCACTGAGATTAGTAGCATATATTGGCCGAATCCTTACTACAAACCGTGGGAGAACGGCAGGAGTACTTATAATAGTAGCCAATTTGGTGTTCTTGACAACACAGGTCGATTTGTAGCTAGTGACAAATCCCAGTTTGAAGCCTCTGATCTTGGTGGTGAGGTTATGAGGAGGTTGACTCTAGACTACGATGGTAACCTAAGACTGTATAGCCTAGACGTGACCGATGGCAGCTGGTTGGTCTCTTGGATGGCATTCCCACGGACTTGTGAAATACATGGGCTGTGTGGCATAAACAGCCTTTGCACGTATATACCAAAGCTTGAGTGTTCTTGCATCGAAGGTTTTGAGATGATTGAACCAGGCGACTGGAGCAAAGGATGTAAGAGCAAGTCGAACATGTCAACCAAAATGAAGCGGAGCAAAGGGAGCAAAGGCATGGTAAATAGCATGGCTAACCAGAATTTTCATTCCGGAAACTTGGTGGAACTGACTTCTGGGGTATGACTTCAGCTACGCAAAGTCACTGACATTGTTTGAGTGCAGGAATGTATGCTTGGATATACAAAATTGCTAAGCTTTCGGTTACCGGAGAGGGAAAGGAGAATTCTTTCCGAAGGCCTTGCTTTTCAACGGCAAGACCTTTGCATCTCCTCCTAATGATATCTATCTGAAAGTTCCCAACGTGTCACTGTCTTCACCAGAATTGGATTCTAGAAAAACTCATCAATGCAAAATTACTGAAGAAGTTGCCTATCCTTTGTCACCAATGTTAGGTGGTACCACTTCCAAGTTCAAGTTTGACTACTTCCAATCTTCTGCGCTAACACTGCTTGTCATTGAAGTAGTATTAATCGTAGCCGGGTGCTGGGTTGTTTACAAATGGGAGAGAAGACCAGAGATTACAGATGAAGGCTATATGATAATTTCTAGCCAATTTCGAAGAATCAGCTACAAGGAGTTAGAGAAGGCAACCAAATGTTTCCAGGAAGAGCTCGGAAGTGGTGGATCAGGAACGGTTTACAAGGGAGTCCTGGATGATGAAAGGAAGGTGCCTGTGAAGAAGCTAAACGATGTGATCCAAGGAGAGCAAGAGTTCAGGTCTGAGTTAAGTATCATAGGAAGAATTTATCATATGAATCTGGTCAGGATATGGGGGTTCTGTGCCGAGAAAAAACACAGAATCTTGGTCTCCGAGTTCATTGGGAATGGTTCATTAGACAAAGCTCTGTTTGGTAATCAGAGCTCCTCTCCTTTGCTACAATGGAGACAAAGGTTCAACATCGCACTTGGGGTGGCTAAAGGACTGTCATATCTCCATCATGAGTGCCTAGAATGGATTGTGCATTGTGACATCAAACCAGAGAACATATTGTTGGATGAAGACTTTGAACCAAAGATCGCAGATTTTGGATTAGCGAAACTATTGAGTCGAGAAGCTGGAGCACAAATTTTGTCAAGGGTGCATGGGACTTGAGGTTACATTGCACCAGAATGGGCTCTAAATCTTCCAATAACTGGCAAAGCCGACGTTTATAGCTACGGAGTAGTGCTTCTTGAGTTGGTGAAGGGGATTCAGGTTTCCAATTGGATGGCTGAAGGCGAAGGTGAGATGGAAATGGCTGTTAGGCACTCTGCTGATATTCTTAAAGAGAAATTAGCAAGCGAAGATAAGTCATGGCTCCTGGAGTTTGTGGATTATAGATTGAGTGGAGAATTTGATTATTGACAAGCAACAATGATGGTTAAGATAGCAGTGTCATGCTTGGAAGACGAGAGGAGAAGACGGCCAAACATGAGCCAGGTCGTTGAAGCTCTGCTGGCAATAGTTGAATAATTCTAGTATTAATATATTGTTCTAGCTAGCTGATGTGATGTGCTTAAAAGTTACTAGGGTCCTTACCTTATATTCTTCTGTAATATGCCAAGGTTCTATTAAATTATCTTATGTAAAAACATTAGAGAATCATCCATTTTAATATGTATATAGAATCGTCTGAAGATCCTATATTCTTCATATATTATAGACTGGGTAATCATATTTGTTTCAGTTTTTTTTTTTTGGATACTCTGGTCTACATTAATGCATCCACATCCACTGTACATTTTGTAATTCTTGATCCTAACAAACTAGATGAGTGTGCTATTACTGCAAGCTACTGCAGCAACATTTCCTGTTGATAGTATACTAGTAAGATGCTTCAAGTAGCGTCCAATTGCTTCCTAAATTGATTAATGAGCAGGCCAATGGGCCAAAAAAAAAGTAGTAAATACTATTATAAAATAATCTAGGGCTGGCATAAGTTGGTTCTTGCTGGATCAAGAAAAAAATGCAGCAATGAGGCGATCCGGATGAGCTAAGCTGTTGAGGCATCAGACGCATCGCAAACACCATGATCACCTTTGCTGTCTTTTGACAGGTTGCCTCGAGCAGTTGAGCCACTCGTCAAATTCTGATCCAGTCTATAAGGCCACAACTATATTTCTATTCAGCCTATGTCGGTACATGCTATATACATGTCATGGCAGTAATTGAAAGTTAGAACAACCCAACACCCAACCCATTTACGGTCAAACATTCCTTCCATGACAAGTATTGTGGGAGAAAATAACGGTGTGAAGCACAAGTCACTGAAAGCCTAAATCCTATCTTATGTATATACTCATGCCTGATTCAGCTTGATGATGCGATCCTACTAACATGGAGTACGGCTATTTCGTTTAGTTTACTTGTGTGCATAATTTGGTCTACATGAAATGCATCAGATGTCATTGTGCATTTACGTTATTGATGAAGAGAGAATGCTTGAATCAAGACAGAATCAGTAACAATTCCAGGATTTGTAAGAAAGGTCACCGTTGCTAGGCTCTAGTTGGTGTTCGCCTCTCCATCGGTTTTGCCGCTGACGCACTCCACGGAGATGAACTGATGATGCTTGCCCATCCACATCCACCTCAAACACTTCTGCTCCAGCAGACCAGCACCATACCATATCTTCGGTTCTGCGCCGTTCCCAAATCATTCTCTGCCTCCCCATTAGGTGCCAACGCAGAGTTAATCCCCTTTGACTGCAACACATCGCAAAGCATTGTGCATGTCCCAATGCCACGCCACCGCGGTGCGGAGGCTGACAGGCTGTCCTCGCGGGCTCTGTGCAGTTCCGGCGAACCGGGCACCTGGGAAGTGGGAACGGTACCAAGTACCGCGAAGAGTCGGTGGAGACGAAAGCCTTTAGGGCGTCCCCAGCAGTTGGCTCCGAGCTAGCTGAGGTGGCGTGTTTTCCAACGTGGAGGTGAGAGACGAGCTAAAAATCTCGTCGCCGGTGACCAGTTCGTCGATAGACTCGCACACTATCCGATAAAAACTCATGTATCTGTGTTTATACCAAAGTTTTAGAGAAGAAGGCAGGAACTCGAATTTTTCAGGATCGTGTTATTAAAAAATTAATTAGATGTAAATCGGTATCATCTGAATTAGATGTGACGTCAGAATCGACTATTTTACAGCAAACGGCGTTAATCGGCTATACTTGAGTGGCGCTAGGAAGATGTGTTGGACTCTACAGATAAGGAAAATTAGGGTCCAGGTTATTATTAAGTTAGGAAGTTTTCTTTTATTTCAAGAATCGTAATAAGTCGTATTTGAGTAGGATTCATGTTTAGGTTCCGGGTATAAATATTAGACTCTGGTTATTATAAAAAAAGATGAACATTCAATCAATACAATTTTTTAGCTTTCGTCATCGCATTAGGAGTAGGAGTACTGTAGATCTCGATGAGTTCTTCAGCAAACAGGGCTGCATCGACTGATCGACCTCCGCTTGCTTGTGAGTACCGTCACAACTTGTATTATGCTCGTAAAGGTGTATCAGCTGATTGATCTTTTATGAGCCATAATATAAGTTAGTTATCGATCTGTATCGTAGTTTGTAAGTCTATATCAGCTGATTGATCTCTTACGAATCATAATATAGATCAAAGTTATTGATCTTGTGTTAAATAACTTGTTATTTAATACAATATCATCAGTAATCTAATATGCTAAGATTAGTAAGATTTTCTTTACTGTTTTTGTTTGATTCACCAGTTATCGATTTTGCTATAATTAATGTTTTATTAATTATAATAAAATTACCGGATTGAGATAGAGATAGAGATAGATTGGCATCATATCATCTTAATGGGTCATCCTTTGACCTGGTCACGCTTTAAATCTTATAATTGATGGTTTGATTCCGCTAGATCGGCTGTTTTACCTCTATTCCAGTTAAATATAGTATGCATCCAAAGATATGTTTTAATCTTGAATAAACTCACTAGTTAATGAGATCTAATCTAACGACACTACCCTAGCTGCATCGATCCGGTCGAACCTCACGGGTAAAACTTTAGATTAGAAGTTATTGAATAGTGGTTTTATTCATGATCAAGATATGTACTATGTTTGTTTGTTATAACTGCATTGGCTATTTTAGCCGATTTGCCTATACTCTCACGCATATAGCATGTTTTCATGAATCTGTCAACATATTGATGGTTTTATAGATTCTTTTGCTTTAGTTTATTATCATTATCATAGCTGCATCGATCCAATCGAACCCCACTGTTGATGATAATAGATTAGACTCAAAACTGTTTGTGGATTCATTTATATTAGACAGTCGATTTGTTCACATATTATACTCTTTTCATCAGACTTATCGGCTCGACGCTTTATATCGATCATGCTCCATTTAGTCGATGATACTTTCTGATGTTCCATGAACATTGATTATTTTGATTCATATCATTATCGTTTAATATTAGCTGATAATCTTTGATTTAAAGATCTTCATTTCATAGATACGCTGGATATCGACTATTTAGTCGATAGCCTCATTGAATCGGCTATCTAGTCATATATTTGGAACTGTTTGGTGCAACACCGACATGTTCCACCTTAAATTACTGATAATATTTTCTCTCCTTGTCAATTGCAGGTCAAATTGACTGGCACGTTGTTGGGTTTTCAGAATTGGTTGGTTTTGTGTTGAAGCCAAGCAGATCTCTAGTCTCGTTTCACTCAGATCTTTTGGCTTGCTGTGTGTTGATCACATCGCTATATTTTTGTGTCAACACACTTTTTGGCACGCCTGGTGGGACCACAATCGTCATGGCAGTTCACAACTATAAGTATATTCTTATGGTACCTTATGAAGACATGCCTGCTGAGGATAAAGATATTATTGATAAAGCTATAGAGGAGGTTTAGAACAAGTGTTTGTTGTCATACACCAAAACACGTGACAATAAAGTTGTACAAAAATATCCACTGCCGAGAGTTTTGATGCATGGACAGTCAGATACAGACGAAGCTGATGATAGTTGTTTCTTTGTAGAAGCTGTCAACAAATCTGTTCATGATCCAATGTTGAATCATAATACAGCTTTCTTGAATACATTCCATAATACCATGAAGGAGGTGTTTCATGGATTTTCACTTAATCTGGTTGAACTGGCTTATTACAATATTCCATATTTGTCGACTCAGGAGACTAATCAAGCCGGTAGTAGCCATCAAGAAGTAGCACTAGCTAAAAGTGATGATACCCAAGCAATTCAGAATTCGTCTGAGTAAATTCAGGGTGCTACTATTAATCAAATGTAATATAATCCTAGATCATCAGTGCAGCATGTGCAATAGCTGATAGGGTAAGTTTAGAATCAGATGGTTAATTTTGGTACATTAGACCAAATACCACCGTTGGCTCAAAAAATAGCACCATCGGTTTAAAGGATTCGTAAAGATATAGATCCTAATGTTTTTAGTCAGAGATTTCAAACAGTAAATCAGCAAGGGGCTCAATAGATATTCCACAAGGATATGATTATAGCTCAGATTATAATACTCTCAATATGATTTCAAATCCAGGATATTAAGGCACTTAGAATTTCAATCTGTAGATGGGTCAACAATTGCCAAGAAATTCAAACTCAAATGCTGATGAATTGTTGCTCAGAGTAACCGAAATGATAAAAAATTAGTTTTGTTTAAAACCAAAAGGGCAGACCTTTTCGTACAAACGTCCATATCCAGAGTGGTATGATTTAGTGACCCTTCCTACAAATTACAGGCTTCCAGAATTTAGTAAGTTCACTGGTCAAGATAGCACACGTATAATAGAACATGTCAGTCGATATCTTACCTAGTTGGGTGAAGCTTCTATTGAGGAAGCGCATCGAGTTCATTTCTTTTCTTTGTCCCTGTCAGGACTAGCTTTCACTTGGTTTTCATCACTAGCGGTTAATTCTATTGCTAATTGGAGTGATCTTGAAAAGAAATATCATATATATTTCTACACTAGGGCAGGAAAAAGAAAGATCATAGATCTAGCAACTATAAAGCAAAGAGCTAATGAATCGGGTACTGAGTTCCTTCAGAAGTTTCGAGAAACAAGAAACTTATGCTTTTTGTTAAATTTGACTGATGATCAGCTAATTACGTTGGCCGTTCAAGGAATGTTGCCAAAGAGAAAAGTTGCTTGGGAAGAATTTGACAATTTAGATCAATTGGCTTAACAGGTGGCAGCACTTAACAGCCAGTTCCAGAATATGCGCAGAAATACCCGATTCTAGAAGAATGCTGCAATTGCTGAAGCTTATAATCCTTATTTAGTCGATGATGATGAAGAAGAAAAGGAAATTACCGCAGATGAATGGAATTGGGGTAAAAATATAGTAATGGTTTGA